GGGCCCTTAATGTCTAACGGCCAAACCTGAAATTTTACATATATGCCACCCTGCATAAGCATAAAAAGTTATATTTAACTTTTTCTTTTTATATATAATAACAGTAGTATTTTGTATATAATAAGAATGATTTAAGTATTTTCTAACATGCATATTATGCTGCTTAATTACTGTTAAAATTTAATATTGTTGCAGGCGATTCGCCTTTCTTCCGTCGGTGGACCCCATTTAACAGTCTATGACAGGCCTAGTGATGGTCTCCCTGTCAGGTTACATTAAATTTTTCTTATATTTATTTTTCCTTCAAAACTCTTAACCCTAATTGATTAATTCTTAATTTGTTATTAATTAATCCTTTCTGGTCTTGCTAATTAGGAAGGAATACGTTGAAACTTTGATGAGGGATTGCCCTGCACTTGAAGAAGCTCCTTGATGTCTGACGCCAGTAAACAATTAAACATTTCCTGCACTATCTTCCTATCTATCTATCCATCGATCTATCTGTCTATCTATAAATATATGCGAATGATCAGACTTATTGGTGCGGCCTCTGACGTAAGTCCATCGGATTAAGGGTTTGAATCCCGTGACACGGGCACTTCGAATCAGGAGCAAGCACACCAGGGTTTTCAACCCTTTGGGAGAATCGATATTTGGTGTCCACTGGACCAAAAGTCGATTTCACCTTAATATATATATCGGGCATCTGCTTGTCAATTGTAAGTCTCTTCTGGTCTGGAGTTCGATTCCCCCCGAGTGTAGGGTATGGTACTCGAATTCTTAGGCGCATGAGGTATAGTTGGGGATCGTATAATAGGCTACGACCACTCTTTTTCAATATATATTTTACAGATTAAGAATAAAATGTGCGTTGTAATATATAATTAAGCTATTGTGTAATTATGTTTGGTAATCCAATATCTCAATGTATATATATTTGTATTTGATTTTGTTGGGTGTTTTTAGGACGTGGGATTCCTTATAGTTTATGAGTTCATATAATCTTTGAGAGTCTTCGTGAGGTGAGTGAAGTATGTGGAAATGAGTAGAGAATTTAAGTTATCTCCTCCTACTTGTTTTTGTCACCTCGCTACGCTTCACGTCCTTGCAGGGCTACAAAAAAAGAGAAGAAATAGAAAAATATTAAATTTAAGATGGATGTACAAGGCATGTTGAGATTCGTCTGTAATGAGGTATCTTCGTTGGTGTGAGGCAGCTCAAAAATGAGCATGAATAGTTATAGGTTGGAGTTTGCTTCCTCCTGTGCTCCAGACAACCTTGAATGATTGTTCGGCGAACTTGTCGGCGTAGCTTACTAAATGCAAACGAGCTCAACGGGAGAACTCACATGAATACCGACAAGCTCGGTGGAGGAACTAGCCAAGTTCTTCAGACAGGCAGGTCCCATTGCTGTAACTTCGATGGACATGGTTGGCGAGTATAACTTGCCTGCAATTAGACTTTAGGTGTGTGACAATTGGGTTTGATTCATTAGACCTAGAAGTTCCCTCTTAAATTTAGAATTTTCAGATATTTATGAAATGCTTTTCATTTTTTTTCATGCAAAAGATGCCCAAGTGTTTTGGTTATGGCCTAGTGGCATAAATAAGTGTTGGGTGCAATGCCCCTTTCCTATAATAATTAGAAGCTTATTAAATTTAAGACAATATAGAGACCAACAAAAAAATCCTAAAATCTAAAGATTAGAATTTGATCATAAATGCACATATTAAACTTATAAAGTTATTTAGACATGTTATGAACTTCTTAAATAGAAAACAAGGTCATAAACATAAATTCACCCCTAAATTCACAATACTAGCAACTATTATTATGTTAAAAATTTAAATTTTTAGTAAAAATTGTATTAATATGTTTAATAAAGTTCTCTCAACGTTCACTAAATTAATTTTGCTACCAATATCTAAGCAAATAATTTGTAGATTTTTTTATTTATTAATACTAATAAAACCCTTAATTAATAACCACCACCTCTTTATTCAATGAGTTGAATATATA